AAGAAAAAATAATAAAGGCAGCTAGAGAGAAGGGTTAGGTCACCTACAAAGGGAACACCATCAGTCTATCAGTGGACTTGATACGGTTTGGATCTGTGTCCCCATCCAAATTTCATGTTCAATTGTAACCCTTAATGTTATAAACAGGGCCTCATGAAAGGTGACTGGATCATGGGAGCAGATCCTTCATAAGTTGTTTAGTACCATCTCCTTGGTGCTGTTCTTATGTTCAAGATGTGATCTGGCTGCTTCTAACAACCTATACACATTTGTGTGAGCAAAAAAATGAAATAAAACTGGAACTTATATTTAAGAGGGATGCAGAGCATAAATGTTTGGAAAATGTACAGCCTGCCCATGTGGTAAAAAAAATAAAAGCCCACTTTCAGGGGAGCAGTTCAAGACTGCTACAGAAATCTGCACAACTAAAAGAAGAGTTAGTGTTGACAGACAAGACAATGGGGATAATTCCTCAAAGGCATTTCAGAGACCTGTGGCAATCCCTCTAATCACATGCACAGAGGCCTAGGAGGAAAAAATGGTTTTATAGGCCAGGCCCAGGGCAGTCTCAGTATACTGCTCCCTGCATCCCAGCCACTCCAGCTCCACCCATGGCAAAAAGGGTCCCAGGTACAGCTCAGGCTTCTGCTCCAGAGGTCGTAAGTCATAAGCATTGGCAGCTTCCATGCAGTGTTAAGCCTGTGGGTATGCAGAATGTAAGAACTGAAGCTTGGGACCCTCTGCCTAGATTTCAGAGAATGTATGGAAACATCTAGATGTCCAGGCAGAAGCCTGACGCAGGGGCAAAGCCTTCATGAATAATATCTACTAGAGCAGTGTGAATAGGAAATGTGGGGTTGGAGCCCATACAGTGTCTGCACTAAGACACTGTGAAGCAGAGCTATGAAAAGAGGTCATTCGGACCCTGGAATGGTAGAGCTGTCAGCAGCTGTACCCAGCACCTGGAAAAGCCATAGGCACTCGATGACAGCTCATGAGAGCAGTCACGAGGGTAGAATCATAGAAAGACACAGGGGCAAAGCTGCCCAAGGCTTTGAGAGCCCCTCACTCACACCAGTGTGCCCATGATGTGTAACATGGATTCAAAGGAGATCATTTTGGAGCTTTAAGATTTATTGACTGCCCAATGCATTTTGGACTTACACAGGGCCTATAGTTCCCTTTTTTGGGCCACGTCCTCCCTTCTAGAATGGGCATATTTACCCAATGTCCATACCCCCATTGCATCTTGGAAGTAACTAACTTGTTTTGATTTTAAAGGCTCATAGGCAAAAGGGACTAGCCTTGTCTCAGATGAAACTTTCAACTTCAGACTTTTGAGTTAACGCTGAAATGAGTTAAGACTTTGGCAGACTATTGGGAAGGCATGATTAGATTTTGCAATGTGAGGACATGAGATCTGAGAGGGACCAGGGGTAAAATGATATGGTTTGGCTCTGTGTCTCCATCCAAGTCTCATGTTCAATTGTAATCCTCAATGTTGAAGATGGGGCTTGGTGGGAGGTGATTGGATTATGGGGTGAATCCTTCATGAATGGTTTAGCACTGTCCCCTTGGTGCTGATCTCATGATGATGAGTGAGTTCTCATGAAATTTGCTTGTTAAAATGTGTATAGCACCTCCCCTCCCTCTTTCTCCTCCAACAATGAAAGATGTGCTTGATTCTTTTTCACCTTCTGCCATGGTAGTAAATGTCTTGAGGCCTCCTCAGAAGTAGAAGCCTCCATGCTTCCTGTAGAGCCTGTGGAACGATGAGACAATTAAGCCTCTTTTCAACATAAGTTACCCAGTCTCAGGTATTTCTTTACAGCAGACTGAAAACAGACTAATACAGGACCTTTCAGGAGAATCCCCACAAGCCAGAAGAGATTGGAGGCCTATATTCAGCATTCTTAAAGAAAAGAAATTTCCACCAAGAATTTCATTATCCAGTGAAACTAAGCTTCATAAGTGAAGGAGAAATATGATCCTTTTAAGATAAGCAAATGCTAACAGAATTCATTACTACCAGACCTGTTTTACAAGACATCCTGAAGGGAGTGGTAAATATGAAAATGAAGACTATTACCAGCCACCACAAAAACAAACTTAAGTAGATAGATCACGGACACTATAAAGCAACTACACAATCAACTCTGCATAACAATAAGCTAATAATATGATGTCAGGATCAAATCTACACATATCCATAATGACTTTGAATGTAAACAGGCTAAATAAAGCCCCATGTAAAAGGCACAGAATTGCAAGGTGAATAAGAAGTAATACCTAATGGTATGCTGTCTTCAAGAGAGCCATGTCACATGCAATGACACCCATAGGCTCAAAGTAAAGGAATGAAAAAAAATCTACCAAGCAAACAAAAAACAACAACAACAAAAGCAGGGGTTGCTATTCTATTTTCAAACAAAGCAGACTTTAAACTAACAAAGAACAAAAAAGACAATGAAGGGCATTACATAATGGTAAAGACCTCAATTCAATATGAAGACATAATTATCTTAAATATAAGTGCACTAAACACAAGAGCATTCATGCAGATTCATAAAATAACTACTTGGAGACCTATGAAGAGACTTAGATAACCACACAATAGTGGAAGACTTCAACACCCCACTGACAGTATTAGACAGATCAAGACAGAAAACGGTTCCAAACAAGGATACTTGCTTGGGACCTGAACTGAACTATTTGGGACCTCAACTCAACACTTGACATAATGGACCTAATAGACAACTACAGAACTCTCAATCCAAAAACAAAACAACATACATTTTTCTTATCTGCATGTGGCACATACTCTAAATAATCAACCACACAATTGACCAAAGAACAATTCTCAGAAAATTCAAAATAATTGAAATCATATCAAGCACATTCTAAAACCACAAAGCAATAAAAACAGAAATAAAACTAAGAACATCACTCAAAACTATAAAATTATATGGAAATTAAATAATGTTCTCCTGAAAGAGTAAATAATGAAGTTAATGCAGAAATAAATGAATTCTTTGAAACTAATGAGAACAAAGATACAACCTACCAGAATCTCTGAGCCACAGCTAAAACAGTTTTAAGAGGATAGTTCATACTGCTAAATGCCCACATCAAAAAGTTAGAAAAAGTTCAAATGAACCACATATCATTATAATTAGAGGAACTAGAGAAGCAAGAGCAAATCAACCCCAATGCTAACAGAAAACAAGAAATACTCAGCCAGGAGCAGTGGCTCATGCCTGTAATCCCAGCACTTTGGGAGGCTGAGGTAGGTGGATCACCTGAGGCCAGAAATTCAAGACCAGCCTAGCCAACACGGCAAAAACCCATCTCTACTAAAAATACAAAATGCACACCTGTAATCTTAGCTACTCTGGAGGCTGAAGCACAAGAATTGCTTGAACCTGGGAGGCAGATGTTGCAGTGAGCTGAGATCACATCACTGCACTCCAGCCTGGGTGACAGAGCAAGACTCTACCTCCCAAAAAAAAAAAAAAAAAAAAAAAAAAAAAAAAAAAAAAAAGACAAGAAATACCCAAAATCAGAGTTGAAATGAAAGAAACTGAGGGACAGGTGTGGTGGCTCACACCTGTAATCCCAGCACTTTGGGAGGCCAAGGCAAGCAGATCACTTGAGGTCAGAAGTTCAAGACCAGCTTGGCCAATATAGTGAAACCCTGTCTCTACTAAAAGTACAAAAATTAGCTGGGCGTGGTGGTGGGTACCTATAATCTCAGCTACTTGGGAAGCTGAGGTGGGAGAATCGCTTGAACCTGAGAGGTGGAGGTTGCAGTGAGCCAAGATCACACCATTGCACTCCAGCCTGAGCAAGGGAGCATAACTCCAAAAAGAAGAAAAAATAAAAAATAAAAAATAAAGAAATTGAGGATCATAAAATAGACAAATGAATCCAAGAGTTTGTTTTAAATTTCTAGTGACTCAGCCCTTCCTCTCTTCCAGGTACACAGAGGCAGACACCTTTCAATGGAGATTTCCTTTATAGATGTAAATTTCTTTTACAAAAGTGTTTCAAAATAGACAGCTAAATATTGGAAATGTGTATTTTGAAGACCAATATTGTTCCCTGGTTGATATTTTAAAATTAGTGTCTGTTTCTTAGCTAAAATTACTGATTTCAGGGTGGGGTCCTTTAATGAACAGGGAAAACAAAGCATTTTCTATTCCTGGACTCAGCATAGATAGCTCTGAAAAAGAAGCAAGCCTACTTTACCTGAGGACCTATTTTTTCTAAACACTTTATCTGATTTTTAAACTATTTTATTTTTTTCTAGTTTAAGCCAAAGTAACCTTTTCATGTGACTTACCAAAACCAATAAGATTTAACTAAGGTTAAGATTTAACCAAGTATCAGAGGTGTTTGAACCAGAGAAACTCCATTTTGAGTAGGGATTAGGTAAAATGAGGCTGAGATCTACTGGGCTAAATTCCCAGATGATTAAGGGATTCTAACTTACAGGATGAGATAGGAGGTGTTAAAACACATGCCCTGAATGAAGAGACCCCTTAAACAGGCTTTATGTGAGCAACATGGCTGTTTATTCAACCAGGTGCGGGCAGGCTGAGTCCAAAAAGAGAGTCAGTGGAGGGCAGTGGGATAGGAGTTGGCTTTATAGGTTTGGGGTAGGCAGTGAAAAGTTACAGAAGTTACAGTTTAGGGTGGTTTTTACAAGCTAGGAGGGGGCCATAGGGTCTGGAGTCGCAAGGTTGACCAAGGTCAGTTACAAAGTCCAATTGCCTTGTCAGTTGAGGTAGAAATAAGAAACAATACAGAATGTCTCAAAGTTAATTAGGTGCCACATGGGTTGAACATTTCTTCTCCTTTTGTGGTTTTCCAGTTACTTCACACTTTCTAGTTCCGAGAGTCCATCCAAAGGTGTACGTGCAGGTCACAGGGGTTGCCATGTCTCAACTTAGGGTATTGCCTATGGTGCAGCCAGTTAAACTAAAAGACCTTACAAGGGGTCAGCAGAAGATACAGGTAATAAAGACCTTGCTGATAAAACAGGTTGCAGTAAAGAAGCTGCTCTAGCCCACCAAAAACCAAGATGGCCACAAGAGTGACATCTGGCAATCCTCACTGCTGCACTCTCATCAGCACCCTTGTAAATGCTGGAGGGTGTTCAGTTTCTTGGTGTCTTCAACAAAGAATTGGACAAAAGCACAAACAAAGCAAGGAAGGAATGAAGGGATATATTGAAAATGAGAGTACACTCCACAGTGTGAGAGTGGGCCTGAGTATAGGTGCTCAAAGGCCCTGTTACAGAGTTTTTATGAGTTTACATACCCACTACTTGGGGTATGTCATATGTAAATGAAGAGGATGAAGTAAAGTTATAATATGGCTCCAATTAGTAAAGGAAAACCAGGCTCTTCGCCTCTAATTGAATTAGAAAAAACCACATGGACACATGTGGAGTAGTTTTAAGGATCAGAGAGCTTAATAAGTAAGAAAGAATGGAAGAGACAGAAGGAAGAAGTTCCCCTGTACAGACACAGAGGGAGGGGGGCTCCAAAGCCAAAAGAGGAAACTCCAAGTATGGTGGACACCATTCAGGTATATATACAGAGGCTGGAGGAGGCAGTATCTATTTTGCATAGGACTCAGGGGATTGGTTTGACTAGGCATGTCATTCACATAGCCCACAAAAAAGGTGGTCCTCCCACCCTAGCGTTTTAATATGCAAATACAGGGTGTCATGATGTTCTACACACCTAAGGATATGTGGAGGTGGCCACGTTGCCAGGCACATGTGGGGCAAGGGTAAGAAGAGGCTGGGAATCACCTTGTTTGGGTGGAACCAATTTCAAATGGCTTGCATTTGCATATTAAAGGTTGCCAGCTTGGCTCTAAGAGCCAGGGCTTTAGAAGAAATGTTTCTGGAGAAGTTTTAAAAATGAAAACTTCTGCAGTCCACCAAGATGGCCAAATAGAAACAGCTCTAGAGCACAGTTCCCAGTGAGGCCGATGTGGAAGGCAAGTGATCTTTGCATTTCCAACTGAGGTACCAGGTTTATCTCAATGGGACTGATTGAACAGTGGGTGCAGCCCAAGGAGGACAAACCAAGGCAGGGTCGGGTGCTGCCTCACGAGGAAGTGCAACTAGCTGGAGGACCCCCCACCCTTCCCACCCAACAAAAGACATCAGGGACTTTTCCAGCAACTCTGGCACTCTGGTTCAGATCCTGTGCTTCTCCTATGGTCTTTACAGCACACAGACCAGGAGATTTCCACCAGGCTGATAAGAGCTGGGGGTTTCCAGCACAAATCTGAGCCACCGTTTCAGCCAGGACCATGGGTTTTCGGCACAAATCTGGGTGGCTGTTTTGGCTGGTGCCTGGAACGCCTGCAAAACTGAGCCTCCCACTCTACTGAAATAAGGGGAGCTGGAGGTAGGGAGCCAAGTGATCTGGCTCAGCGGCACCCACCCCTAAAAAGACCAGCAAACTGAAACCCTCTGGCTTGAGAGTTTTGCAGCCAGCACAGCAGCTTGAACTCAACCCAGGACAGTCAAGTTCAGTCGGGAGGAGGGTGTCTGCCATTACTGAGGCAGTTCTAACTTTCCCTGTGTAAATGAAAGTGAAAGCAAGTTTACACAGAGTTCACAGCAACTCAGCAGCACCTCTACAGGCAGACTGTGACTAGACTTACTCCTTGCTGGGCAGGGCATCTCTGAAAAAAGGCAGCAGCACTTCAGGGACTTATAAATAAAACCCCACCTTCCCAGGACAGAGCACCTGGGAAAAGGGGGCAGTTGTGAGTTCCGCAGCAGCAGACTTTAACGTCCCTGCCCAGCAGCCCTAAAGGGAGCAACAGAGCTCCCAGCACAGCACTTGAGCTCTGATAAAAGACAAGACTGCCTCCTCAAGCAGGCTCCTTGACCCCTATATATCCAAAAAACACCTCATACAGGAGAGCTGTGACTGACATCTTGCAGGTACCCATCTGGGATAAAGCCACCAGAGGAAAAAACAGGCAGCAATCCTTGCTGTTCTGAAACCCCCATAGGTGTTTCCCAGGTAAAAAAGGGTCTGGAGTGAAACCCCAGCAGTCCTGCAGCAGAGGGTCCAGACTGTTAGAAGGAAAACTAAAAAACAGAAATAAATAGCTTCAACATTAACAGAAAGGACATCCACTCAGAGACCCCATCCAAAAGTCACGAACTTCAAAGGGCAAAGGTAGACAAATCCATGAAGATGGAAAGAAACCAGCACAAAAAGGATGAAATCACAAAAAAACAGAATGCATCTCCTCATCCGAGGGATCACAACTCCTGACCGGCAAGGGAACAAAATTGGATGAAGAATGAGTTTGACAAATTGACAGAAGCAAGCTTCAGAAGGTGGGTAATAACAAACTTCTCTGAGCTAAAGGAACATGTTCTAACCCAGTGAAAATCAACTAAGAACCTTGAAAAAAGGTTAAATGAAATGCTAACTGGAATAACCAGCTTACAGAAGAACATAAACAACTTGAAGGAGCTGAAAATCACAAGAACTTCACAAACCGTATGCAAGTTTCATAGTCAAATCAATGAAATAAAATGAGAAGGCATGATTAGAGAAGAAAGAGTTAAAAGAAATGAACAAAGCCTCCAAGGAATATGGTATTATATGAAAAGACCTAATGTACATTTGATCGGTGTACCTGAATGTGATGGGGAGAATGAATCTAAGCTGGAAAACACTCTTCAGGGTATCGTCCAGGAGAACTTCCCCAACATAGCAAGGTAGGCCAACATACAAATCCAGGAAATACAGAGAACACCACAAAGATATTCCTGAAGGACAGCAACCCCAAGGCACATAATCATCAAATTCTTCAGGGTTGAAATGAAAGGAAAAATGCTAAGGGCAGCCACAGAGAAAAGTCGAGTTACCCACCGACAGAAGCCCATCAGACTCACAGCAGATCTCTTTGCAGAAATCCTACAAGCCAGAAGAAAGTGGGGGTCAATATTCAACATCCTTAAAGAACTTTTAACCAACAATTTCATATCCAGCCAAACTAAGCTTTATAAGTGAAGGAAAAATAAAATCCCTTACCAACAAGCAATTGCAGAGAGATTTCATCACCACCAGGCCTGCCTTACAAGAGCTCCTGAAGGAAGCACTAAACACGGAAAAGAACAACCAGTACCAGCCACTGCAAAAATGTACCAAATGATAAAGACAATCAGCACAATGAAGAAATTGTGTCGCAGAAGTTTCCCCCTTGGGCGGTGGCGGAGGTAGTAACCGCGATAGTAGCAGCTCTCGTGGCAGCAACAGTGACTACGAGGGATGGCGGCGGCTGCAGCAGGATCTGCAACATCCCGGAGGTTTTTCCAGAGCTTCTTGGATGCTCTAATCGACGAGGACCCCCAGGCGGCGTTAGAGGAGCTGACTAAGGCTTTGGAACAGAAACCAGATGATGCACAGTATTATTGTCAAAGAGCTTATTGCCACATTCTTCTTGGGAATTACTGTGTTGCTGTTGCTGATGCAAAGAAGTCTCTCGAACTCAATCCAAATAATTCCACTGCTATGTTGAGAAAAGGAATATGTGAATACCATGAAAAAAACTATGCTGCTGCTCTAGAAACTCTTATAGAAGGACAAAAATTAGATAGTGCAGATGCTAATTTCAGTGTCTGGATTAAAAGGTGTCAAGAAGCTCAGAATGGCTCAGAATCTGAGGTGTGGATTCATCAGTCAAAAATCAAGTATGACTGGTATCAAACAGAATCTCAAGTAGTCATTATGCTTATGATCAAGAATGTTCAGAAGAATGATGTAAATATGGAATTTTCAGAAAAACAGTTGTCTGCTTTGGTTAAACTTCCTTCTGGAGAGGATTACAATTTGAAACTGGAACTTCTTCATCCTATAATACCAGAACAAAGCACATTTAAAGTACTTTCAACAAAGATTGAAATTAAACTGAAAAAGCCAGAGGCTGTGAGATGGGAAAAGCTAGAGGGGCAAGGAGATGAGCCTACGCCAAAACAATTCATAGCAGATGTGAAGAACCTATATCCATCATCATCTCCTTATACAAGAAATTGGGATAAATTGGTTGGTAAGATAAAAGAAGAAGAAAAGAATGAAAAGTTGGAGGGAGATGCAGCTTTAAACAGATTATTTCAGCAGATCTATTCAGATGGTTCTGATGAAGTGAAACGTGCCATGAACAAATCCTTTATGGAGTCTGGTGGTACAGTTTTGAGTACCAACTGGTCTGATGTAGGTAAAAGGAAAGTTGAAATCAATCCTCCTGATGATATGGAATGGAAAAAGTACTAAATAAATTAATTTGCTCTTAAAAAAAAAAAAAAGAAATTGTGTCAACTAATGGTCAAAACAACCAGCTAGTATCAAAATAGCAGGATCAAATTCACAAAAAACAATTATTAACCTTAAATGTAAACGGGCTAAATACTCCAATCAAAAGACACAGACTGGCAAATTGGATAAAAAGTAAAGACCCATCAGTGTTTCAGTGTTCTGTATTCTGGAGACCCATCTCATGTGCAAAGATACACATAGACTCAAAATAAAGTGATGGAAAAAGATTTACCAA